CCCCAAAACCCCAAAACCCCAAAACCCCAAAACCCCTTTCTAAGCATACTTTATTGAGATTCTTTGATTACATAGTTTAAGGTCTGGATAGAGATCAGCAGATACTTTAATAGCTATCCTTTGTCTCAGCCCATGCCTTCTAATTAGTAGCAATTTGGCTCAAACCATGCAAGAGAGTGCTGTGACGGGCTATTTGCTTCCAGTCAATGATGCTAGCTGACATCAGTAGAGAAGCCAGAATGGCAAAAGCTGTATTTACATTATTTTCTGAGTTAAATCTCCGATAGAAAATGAAAAAGTTGATAATTTCTTAGAGAAAATTTTAGGAAAATTCAGAAAATTTTTCTTTGATTAAAGAGAAAGTTGTCAAAAAAGATATTGATTTTGGAAAAATTCTCCTGAAGAGTAGGATTTTCTTGTATTTATGTTCTTTAGACTAAAAAAGCATTTTCAGGCATGATTTCCACTATATTTTGATGTAAGCATGATTTTCTTTCAATTCTGTTGTAGAAAATAATTAGAATTGGTTTGTTTAATTGGAAGCAAGTACTATATGACCCGAGAGTCGTGCTGAATCAATCAAGAAACAAAAACATGAACACTCTTAACAACCAAACTGCAATCGAAGCACAAGAAGCCGCTGAGCCAATCAGCCAAGAGCAACTTATTGCTCAAACCAACTTCAGCTACCAATATCAAGATGATAGCAACCAAAAAGAAGCACTAGAGCTAGCAGTTAGCCACCAGCAACATCAGATCCAACAAAATGATCTGAATTTCCAGCCTCAAGCTCCTTCTCAGATTCTAGAGAGCCAAGAGATCTCTCTACCGACAGAAGCTCCTCAGGAAGATATGACTCAGCAATACTTGGAGGCTGTTGCGCACCAGAACATGGACATCAATCAACAAAACCTTCAAGTTGAAGCCTTTCAACAACAAGTTCCTCAGATGGGAGTTCCCCAACAACAAGTTCCACAAATGGAGATTGCTCAGCCCCAAATATCTTATCCTCTCGATAATATCCAGACAATTCCCAACGCTCAGCTAGCTGCTCAAGACCACAATGAGCAGAACACCAGCTTAGGATACATCTCTGCAAACAACCAGGCTCCAGTAGAAAACTCTAACTTAGAAGCTAGCGAAGGCTTAGAAATGTTAACTGGAAACTATCAGCAGCCAGTTGAGCAGGATAAAGAGATTGAGTCACAGCTCAATGCCTTAAACCTGAGTGACAGGAAGAAGCAAGTGTCTGCGCTAGAAATAGCTCAGACGACAACTCCCTGCGTGCTCAGACCGAGAGATAGAGCACCTCAGCAGCCTATTGTCAGGAGGAAGCAAAAAGAAGTCAACCGTCCTCCAATGACTGTTGATCAGGTCTTCATCAAAGAGAACATGTGTGACCACCAAATTGTCTGTGACATCTGAAAATGAGAGAGTTATGAAGAAGGAGACGAAATTGTCATCTGAGAGACTTGTAATGTTGCAGTCCATCAGAGTTGCTACGGAAGAGAGATCAATGACTCAGTTCCCATGGACGACTGGCACTGCGAGAGATGCAAATATATCAACGAGAAAAAGAATGGAGACTTCTCCCAAGCTTCCTGCAGACTTTGCCACAAAAACAAAGGATGCATTATTAGAGTAGGCATGTACTGGTACCACACCCAATGAGTCAACTGGACCTCAGAGATTTACTTTGGGGATAGTCAAAAGAAGGATAAACTAGAAGGATCTCTAGCCAAAGATGGTTGCACTCAAGTTGCAAAAGATACTTGTGTTTATTGCAAAATCCCAGACTGCTATTGAATCAAGTGAGACATTTTGGGATGAAACGAAAAGTTTTGAGTCAGGTGTGCATCTGAAAGAGGAATCATCAAGCCAGATGGCCATATGGACCACCTAAAACATCCAGATCTTGAAGACGTGGTTTATATCTTTTGAAAGAATCATGAAGCAGAAGGAATTGATCTGATACAGAAGAAAGATTTTGGAAAACTGAGAGTAGATCCAATGAAAATGATGAGTGAAGCTAAGAAGCTTGTTCAAAAGGCAAAGAAGACATCAAATCGCAAAAAAAAAGAGATAGGACTGTAAATAAAAGCAGTAAATCAAAAACTAGAAATACGAGGTCAAGAAGCAAAAGTGTATGAGTTGTTGATAAGGATCAGAGTAGAGTCAAAGAACTTGAGCTCCAGTGAGATACTTTGAAAAAGCAATATGCTAAAATTTCAAGTCTTCTTACAACAGGGCTCTTAGGAGGAAATATTAATTCTAAAAACCTGGCCTCTGTAGCACTACAAGGTATACAGGGGACATCTCCAAGTACCTCAAAAACACAGAGAAAGTCTGAGAGAAAAGGCAAAAAGAGAGGTTCAGCAAAGACTCCTGTTAGAAAAACTAAGTTGAGAAAAAAAGGCTAAGAAGAGCAAAGCTGTAGCGAAGCAGAAATTGCTTCAAGGTAGAAAAAGGAACTCTGACCGTAAAGTCAGATCGAAAAAATCTAACTCTGATAGTGAGTCTACAAATGATCTTAGCGAAGTTGACCAAGTCATGAATCAATTTGAGAAGAGCATGACCTTGAATGAACAGAAACAAAAGAAGAAAAGAGGTAGGAAGGCAACATCGAAGAGGAATACGGAAATAGCAAATAGTATCCCAAGCTTTGGACAATGTACAAAGTTTAGAGTATCAGAAGAGGTGATGGGATATTTTTCTCTCAAGAATGAAGTACTCACATGCAAAGAGCTTCAACAATGAATCATTCAGTATTTTGAGGCGAAATCAATGTATGATTCTGAACTAAAGTTAGTGCAAGCCTACCTTTGTCCAAGAGCTTTGAAGCTTTACAACCGTGATATTGTGCCTTTGAGTCAAGTAGTTCTTGGATTAGTTCAAACAAAACATATTGCTATGGATTCCCCTCTTACGAAGAAAGCTACTGAAAAGGTAAGCTTAGTTCCAAAGGTGCAAAGATCTGCTAGAAGGAGCAAAAGAGTAGCAAATCAGATTAAGAATGGGACATCAAAACCTCCAATTCCTTCCAAATCGCTCGAAAGCTTGATGGGAACAGATGAACTTGCATTGAAGGGATTAATGAAGCTTGCTCAAAATCCTCAGCTTCTCGCTCAACTTTCGAAAGGAGTCTAATTAATTTATTCTTTAATTTTAAATAAGTTTTTTATATTTCAATTAATAATACAACCAGAGGGGTTTTGGGGTTTTGGGGTTTTGGGGTTTTGGGG